CTGGTATACTCTAATATTGAATCTGGCATCTTAAAATAGTTTGTTAGTAGAAGTAAGAATGTGTTTACAACCAATATTACTATCCTCAGATGAACTGTGAAAACTCTGTGGAAATTTATTTACAGTTTTTGAACGTTGTGAAGGCAAATGGTATGTTCTTTTATTGTGGTCCCTGTTTCATGCAAATGACACATAATTACTTTGCAGTGGCATAGTATTAGTTGTTATTTTACATATATGTGCTGAGCAACATCGCAGTTGAGGCCAGCAGCAAGACATACATGCAGTGCACTGGAGCATCACCTCACATAGTGTACAGTCTTGCCCCACCAGTAAACTCAATATTTTTCAAGCAGACTAATAAGCAGCTGTATGGGAACTGTGTTGGTGTGCGAACTTTGAAGTCTTCTTGAGGAGTGTTTTTCATCATTTTTGTTTAAGTGAAGTAGCTACCCAAGGCCACAACTGGTGGGAATGTGGTGGTTTCCTCTCTCCGAAAGCACTCCTACCAGCTGCCTCAATGTTAGCATGGGGTGAATTCACGAACTGGAAAAATAATTTGTCTTTGTTTTCTTAGCCGAAAGAGTCACTTCCACCGTTGAGCCACCACGACGCACCAGAAGAGAAACTTTTAGCTAAATAAAGTTGATTCTACTTTTGAGAAGTGTTTTGGGGAAACGAAATGGCACCTATAGCTGTCAATATAAACACTGTTTGCACCAAGGAGCTTAGTAGCTTATAATTATATTATTCATGTATTATCTAGAATTTACTCGCGCTGTGCCAACTTTCAGCCCAAGTGTCCTAACATGCTTTGTTACGGGTTGTGAATGAGCCAAGCTATGTAAATAAACAGAGTGATATTGCAGACATGTACAAAATATTGATGCACAGCCCTTTTCTTTAGCATGACATTGTCAAGGGCTTCATTCTTGTGTTTTTTATAAAGAGTGCTTGTCACTGGGCATCAGCGGAAAACTATGTATCAAGCTTTTGCGAGATGGTTCGAGAAACACCGTGTTCAGACATAACAGTGCCGGTGGATTTCTCTCGTAAGTTACTTTCTGTTGTATAGTCAAAATGAGTTTATTAGAATTGTTGTTTATAGCCATTCATTTTAATATTTACACCTGAGTGTGTATGTATGTATGTATGATGTATGGGTGTACATATGTATATATGTGTGTGCGTATATGTATGTATGTATGTATGTATGCATGTATGTATCTTTTAAAGGAGAATCCGTTTATCATTGGTGAGTAAGTTTGGTAATAATATGGCTGAATTTGTTTCTAGTTATTTCTCTTTTGAGCCATTACATATTTCAATTTATTTTGTACTGCATAAAAATAAATGTAACCTTACACAGAATACGTGTGTTCGAAGAAGTTGTTTCATTTACCAACCTACAGTCATGGGCAAGAAATTGGGTAAAATGGAACGAACCTGCGAAGATTAGTTTAGAGCATAGCTACTTACATGGCATATCTCGTACACATTGCGTTGGTTGAATATGTCGATTTCAACCTTTCAATTTTAATCAGAATAAGCAAGCTATCACCCATGGCTGTATATGTGTGTGATATCTATGTATACTGCGATACCGGTTCGCAATTACAATTAAGGTCACAAACCTAGTCAAGCTGAATACACGAATTTTGTCCATGCACCTTTCATCTACACTGGAACTGTTGTTAATAAAAAATAAACTTCAGTTTAGAAATTTATTCTAGTAACCGAAAGCAGGGTATCTCTTTATCACACAAATCAAATTGCCATTGTTCTGTTCCATTCTGGACAATAAGGGACCCTCTCAGCAGAACTCGATTAACTGCTATAGTTCATTTTAACCATTGACAGCGACATTACACTGAAGCGTGCAGCATGACAAATAGCGGGAGAGAAGACACAAACTAATCACTCTGTTCGCGTCAGCTCTAACTGTCCGTGCTCTTTGGTCTTGCTGCATGTGATGATGCTCATGAAATTAGCATGAAAGCGTGTCCCTACAAAGGCAGTCAACTTGGCTGCAAGCAGTTAGCTCATTGCATGTGTAGATTTTCTTCAAAACGCCGTGAAGACTGATTGCTGGTTGAATATCCAAACACGTGAAAAGTAATATACCAGGTATAATATTAATATTTCAGCACTGGACACTTTTGCGATAAGAGAGAATGGAGGGAAAAATTATGAACCCTGAATTGTTTAATTTTTGAAGGAGCACAGTACAGCGCTTTCGGGTCAAAAGGGGAGTGAAAGAAGCAAGTGCGAAAGCCTACTTCTCAAAAAATTAGTACCCGCCACCACGCATAATGTCAGGCCGGCCAACCTCTTGAAAAAAAAAAAGTGCTCAGTGATTCTGCGAATCGAACCAAGTACCTCGTAGATTGTAGTTTAGCGCTGTAACTGCTCGTCCACTGCAGCAGTGCTTGCATTCGCCCTATTGCTGATATATCGTCATTCCTTCGAATGAAGCCAAATGCAAAAAACGTCCGGTGAAACTTTGTCAAAAATAGAAAAAAATATTAGAATGCGTTTGCCCAGGGTTACCAGAAGATATAAACCGCCACGTGTGACTTTATAACCGTGCGCTATTTATTCTTGTACATTACTGTCATGACGTTGGGATAGCCGGCTCTAACGTAGGCTACCTTCTCATAGTTTGCCAAATATAAATAAGAAAATAAAAATATATAACAGCCTGTGACAACGCTAATCAACTATTATGAGTTCACTGTCACTAGTGTCACTTTCACTAGATGAATGCTCAGTTTGCTTCCATTATCGTTATTTAGGAAAGTTTTGGCTCATTAACTCAACTTTCCTAATTAGCAATGATTCTCACATCTAAGGACAGTCACACTTCATCTCGCTTTCTGAGTGGCTGTCACTCCCATATAACGCGTACTCCTCTTTTTTATGCTCTCCGAGCATCTGACGCTGCTTTGCGGAGACTTTCCCTGACGTCTGCTGGGCCAGAAAATTGTCTTTATTATCTATCAATTTCAAGCTTTCGCGAAGCCGAAACGAGAGTCTCTCTCTCTCTCTCTCTTCATCCTTTTCGCACGTGTGATAACGTCTCTCGACCTCAAGACTCGTATACACGTCCCTTGCTTTGTTTGCGCACTCAAACAACGCTGGACGAATTATTTGCACCGTGTTTTGTGAAAAGCATTAGCACTGAGACACCTCCCGACGAGTCTCCCTCATTTTACCTAGACATACCTAAGCGTAAGCGTATGCACGTTCTCGCATTCCAGCTTTATAAAAATGCTGCGGTGCATGGAACCAGCGAAATTGCGCTCACAATTTCATTTGATTACTGCTGTTATCTATTTTAGCACAATTCGTCTGCAGGCACCAAAGTCGCTCATGTGTTTTGTAATAAGAATATTGTAACAAAGGCTACCTTTGACTATAGGTACAAAACACCCTTACGTTCACCACTATACCGTGCTAGATTGCACCGAATTAGTTAAGTAGCAGTGCAGCTTAAATGAAATGTAAGGTAAGTGGTCGCTTTAAATAAGGGAAGACATTCAAGGCACATTTTCAAACATTGCATGCATCGATTTATGTGTGGTTTCATTTATGTGGTGCACCTGGAGTGTTGTTTACTTGTACTTGGCGAGATAGTGCATGGATTGCTCGGTGGCTTAAGGCCATCAAGCAATTATTTTTTTAGCTACAGTCATTGATTAAAGGCGAGTGCTTGGCTTTGCACAGCCCACCAAAACATCTATTACAACGTACGCGGCATCCCGGAAGCGCTGTAGCAGACGCTCGCGGAACTGAAACTTAGATGCAGCAAATCATTGCTGCTATCATCGTATACTCTCGATGCTAGACGCTTTGCGTGCTGCCTTGATATTATCGGCACACACTTCTTTCTTTCCTTGTCGTTTCATCGGCTATCGTCTGTCCTCCTTGCCCTCTTAAGTGCCGAATAAGTTAAATTCATACCCGCGCTATAGTAATCCCTCCAGATAAGAGAAGTTTTGGCTAAGAAAATGCGTAGTCAAAGAGAAAGCTTTGTGAATTCGGGCCCGGATTTTTTTCCCATCTTTCCGACCTAATACCTTATTTCCTACTTTTTAACTATGTGACACTATGTAACTAACTTAAAGCCGAAGGCTCTAAGTCTTTTTTTTTTTTTTTAGAATTGCGAGAAACTGTTTTTTATCTGGCACTAAGACGTAGTACTGACAGTAAACGACAGTCGAGGACAGAAACATTATGGCTTATATTAAAATACTGGAATCTATTCGTAATGACTGACTCATGACGTAAATCAAGAAGAAAAATGTGCTGACTTTTCTGTTTTAGGAAGTTCATATGTTGCTTTGTCCTCACTTTCACATTTATATCCTGTATGCTTTTATCCTTCGGTTTCGACAACTTAGTTCGGCGATATCCGAGATCATCGATCCTGAACTCTAATCCCCTATCAACTTCGTTGTATTGACTGGCCGCTTACGCTGCTTTGTTATTTACCCTTGTATGTGGTTTCCTAGCCTCGCCCTTGTGTAATACTTTGCTCTTGAGGGTACAGTTAGATGTAAATTATGTTGGTTAGAATAAGCAAAACCACTGCCATAAAATATAGTTTCTGCGTACCCACGCAAAGCGAAGAGTAGGTGTAACACAAGGCTAAAAATTTTGTTTGGCAAGAGTGGGATGCATTTTATATTTGGAAAGTGATCACTAGACAAGTTCTATAAACTACATTCAATTGGAAATAATTAGACAATATAATCCACGTTATCGTAAAGTTTGAGCATCAATAACCCTGTGCAGAGGAAGTCAGTGGAGCTCAGCTTTTAAGATTTCTTAATTTTAAAGAAGTTTTCTTCATAAAGCGAAAGGACCTGTTAATGTAGTTATCAGGAGTTTTCCTAGCAGCCATATGTTATCAGTGCTTTTCCCGATAAGATTTACACTTTGCACAATGGCAAAGCACCGCGTACGAGAGGTTATCTCTGTGTGTCTCGACTGTTCAGCTCTAGATCCGGCTGGACCTCTCTTTGAGGAGAGCGATGTCCACGTGAGCACGGCGGATGCGAACTTCGTCGACATCATCCGCACCAGTTACGGGTGGAATGTGCTCGAGGGGGACCTTGGCATGCAGACTACCGCCGGCCACTTGGACTTTTATCCCGATTTCCAGCAAAGGCAACCTGGTTGGGACACTTTTAGTACGTTTACAGCGATCTAGCGATATTGTGCATGCCCGAGCAATATTCTTATCACCACCCATCACTTCTTCCGATCGCACCAGCGGGGTCGCGTTCGCCGCGATGAGTGGCGCAAGAACGTTTGTGCCGAACTTCGGGTCTGGTCCAGTAACTCGCTTCGCTTCAGTGGTGCTGTGGCATTCAGTATATATTAACGCTAGCAAACGCAGACAGGCGAGTGACCTGCCCTTGTGGAAGTGATAGAAACGGCAGATGCTGATGTATTTGTTGGCTTACGCCACAGTAGCGAAGGAAAAGACGCTGAACGACAATTGACGCCAGCCGGTAACGCGAGCCTTGGCGTCACGTGCCACTGCCAAGCGCTGTCTTTATTTTCCTCCTTTTGCGGTCGCGCGATCTTCGTTTTGCGCACCGTTCAAACAACGGCGCTACATATTTATTCTTGCTGCTTGCGAGAAAGCGGCAACAAAAAAAGCACTAAAAATGATGAAGACACTCTTATTGGTACATTCAGCAATCTTCATTAGGTTTGCTGGTAAAAAAAGGTTAACAACTAACGACTGCAGTATGTAAGCTTTTTCCGTCAATATTCGAAAAAATGAAGTAGAAAAAGTTCAAGAAACTTTAACATCGAGTTAAGAACACTGTAACTAACACTAAAAAATGGTAGCCTATTTCTGCAAAGTTCACCTGAAGTTGCATAAATCGCAGGTAAACTGGTTTTCTATGCATCGCTCTAAAGTATTGCACTAATTTGTCTTCATATATTCACCTAAACACTGTAACATTCTCATTTAATTTGTAAATTATCAACGAAAATTCACTCTGGCAGATTTTGCTGAGAAAATTGTGGCAAATGTTTCGCGTGCGATTTTAGATTTCTAAGCATCGTGCTACTATTTCTTCTCACTTACTGTTCTTTGGAGAATCAAAGGTTCTGAATCAACTTTTCTGCTTTTTATAGTGGGCAGGATTGACTTCATTTTACTGGCAAAGCAGTCATTCAATGTGGTTCAACAGTTAGCACATTTGAGTTCCACCGCATTTGATGTGTGTTTGAGTACGAGTATTGTAGCGGTCCTCCATGTAAATGGTGTAAACTGTAAACAGTGTAACTATGAATCAAGGAAGAGACCCAAGCCCTGTCATGGAGAATTTACCACTGCACTCGTCAATTTAGGCTTACGGAGAAAGTAGGGATAACCTAAATTCACGGCTATATATTCTATTTTTTAAGAAGTGCGTTATTTATACAATAAGGCTCTCGTTTTTTATTAGTTCACCCGATTTACTATGTAAGCTAATACGACTGCCCTCAAACAGCTTATGTGCCACTTTTGTTTTGCTCCAGGTCTTTCATGCCGTCACCGTAGGGCGCACATATATTTTGTCGAATCCCTCCTGAATGAAGCATGCAAGTTTGTGTCCACTGCATGCCAGCCGGATGCTACCGACCCACGATGTGACCAACTTCCCAGGGGCGAAATGGGCTACGAGAGCGAAAATGCTGGTGGACGTTGTGAACAATTCCTGTCAACGAACAGCGAACCACCGTTTTGTCGGCCAGAGGAGCCAGGCAGTGAAGTACTCCGGCGGCTACGCCGTACAGCAGCCTCAATAAAACGATAATGAATCAATGTTGTGGCCATATTGTAATGATTTCATGAGTTTGCTTCACGAAGCGTTTTGAAACATTGATAAGATCTGTAATTCCCCTTCAATGTATCCCGTGTGACTTCTCGGTGGAATAACGAAGGCAAGATAGCGAGAAGTTCCACGAGAACTGTCGACGCAAACAAGACAGTGCCCCTAACCTAGGACGTCTTCCTGAAAGCAGGCTACGAACATAAAACTTATTTTTGCGCCTATATGGCTCGGTGAAACTCACTGTCACCCATAAGTGAGCGAATATTGGGGAGTTCAGACGGACTCACTCATGAAGTTTATTTCACGCTAATGGCCCACTCACACAAAGACTCACCGAAACATTTCTCAGATGGACTCACTTGGACTCAAATTCGACAAATATTACTCACCCGAACTTTCTCAGGCTCAGAATCACGGCTCGATCTGAGTCCGAGTGAGTCTGAGTGAGTCGACTTAAAAGTCAGTTGCCGATAATCAGCTTGTTCGCCCATGGTGTCAATGTTCTTTAACACCTATATCTCACGTATTCAGCGCTCTTCTTGGAGTCATTCTATATGGTACTTTCGAATGCAAGGTATGAGTAGTTGCAAACAAGTAAACTTATTTTTGAAAGCGATTACAACATAAGATATAATCATCAAAAACTTCTTTAGAAGACTTGGTTGGGGAAGGGGGGGGGGTTAAGGCACCCCCCTTGGTAATGCAGACCTCTAACCAATAACTATTAAAATGATGCGTTAACGGTACCGATTTAGAATACTCGTGAGTAAACATGAGTATGAACACGAATCTCGGTAAGGTTGATAGTACTGCTGAAGATTAGTAGAGAGGACCTTATGTCGGAAAGAAAAGTAGAACTCACACAGGCTGATTCAAGAAATATATTTTGTGCTTTGGACTCAGTTCGACTCACACTCACGAATTTTTTCCACCAGACTCACTCATACTCACTAAAATATTACTCACTCCTACTCCTCACTAAAACTTAGACTCACGGCTTGATCTGAGATTGTGGTGAGTAGGAGTGGGTCAACACATGAGTGAGCTCGCCGACCTATACTGTCGCCAAGTCAGTTACGGCTTGACTTGCACAGGAAGTTATGCCAAGTGATTCGAGATTCGATATGCCAGTGCCAGATGAAAAACACTACCAGGACACAAAACACTGAACCAATATTAGAATTGCAACCACCTTTCTATTGTACGGTCGTAGTAACGACCGTACAATATTATTTTTATTATTCACGTAGCAACTACGTGAATAATAAAAAAATGGATGCGGCCGTGTTGGTTATTTTGATCCCAATTTTTATTGCAGTGCTCGTTTATCAGATTTCGCACAGTTTGATTCAAACAGGTGCAGCATTCGGTTCTTACCTGATAAAAAACTGCTTTTCTGAGCCCATGTAACTATCAGTAATTACCACATTTTGATTACATATGTTTTAAATGGGAAAGGCATTCAGGTGGGCCTAACATTCCAACAAAATACAGCCCAGTTTTGTGATTTCTGTATTAGGCTCTTTTAGGAAAAAAATTGCCTCTTTTAGAAAAATATAAACAGCACACGTTTCGTGGACTCGCTCCGTAAAAACCACTTAATCACAAAAACCATCACCAAAAAACCGGAGAACAACGAGATTATTCATGCAGCTATGCCCTGCGTTGTGTATTGCTGCTTTCGACGTTTCGCAGGAACATTGAATTCTTACCAGTATACGGGGCTGAGCTTCACATCTGGGCGAGATGACACATTTGTAAACTGTACTTTTTTGCCGCCCCCTCCTCCACGGAGGAAGGCCATTGACTGTCACAAAGTGCGTCGACACGGGCTCCCCTACGCCCATATATTTGTGTAACTAAAAACAAAATAACTTAATTATGACCAGAGCTTAAATATAGTTGCACAATAAGTATACTCGCAAACTTTGGAAACGTCAGGTGAATAATACGAGTGTCCTATAATAGGGCAAGGAAATAAAAACAATGCTTTTTATTGCCTAGATGTAATCGCATACTAATTTTCTGTTCCTCTATTGAAGATGGAAACTAATATTATTTGATTTGAATGTACATACACACGTAGTAAATGGGTAGAGAGTGGGCTTACAACTGCCACCTGCAGAAGTACAAGGCCTGAATACGACTACGCGAAAAAGAAATATACCAAGAAAATGATGGCAAAAAAAGGGATAAAAGAAAAAAAGTCAATAAATGGCGCCGGAGGGGACGAAACTGGGTAGAGATAATGAAAAAAGTGTCATAAACGTGAGGCCAAATCAGCTTTTGTTCATGGAAGTTACAAGGGCACGTCGAGCAGCTCACCCTCAGAGACATTGAAGCACACCGAATACACGAAAAGGAGATTTCTAGCGGTTGATAGTTATTAAAAGCGCTGTCTATATTTATACGTGTCATCGTGTCACATGTGTCTTGCTATATCACCGTGAAGTTCAAGTACTAAGTATCTGTGGCAATGTAACAGGAGGTGTACTGACATATGTGGCCCTTTTACTGGTTATACTGCCTTTATAATCTCTCATGTACACACATTCACAAGCTATCTCACAAGATTAGGCTGACGTTATGATGACGAAAATAAGGCAACTATGCGGCCGTTTCTACACGTGCGCAACGTTGTAACATATCTCCTTTCAAGGTTGAACCTGTTAGCGCTGTTTCCAAGCGCAGCCACTAGGTGGCTAGTGCTTAGTTGAAGTCACGAATTTGGCTCAGAACAATACTGCGCTAATGGAGACGCGTAGTGCTCAACTTTTTTAAGTGCGATTACACTTTATAAGCGACCCCAAACCATCCATCGCCGTCGGCGGCGTCCGCAGTCTTCTCTCTATCTTTAAAAAAAAGAGGACTTGGCGGGCCGCAGCGCGACGCTCTACCGAATAAGCCACGGACGCGACGCGGATATCGGTGTCAGTAACGCACCTTATACCCCCTCCCCCTTCGCTCGCTTCTCCGCTCTCCTCGCTCGCTGCAGCTGCGCGCGCACCCCTCTCTCTCACGCGCCCGCCTTCTCTCTGTCTCCCGTCGAGAGCGGGTCGTGAGGGGGAGTAAAGTTAAAATCCGTTGGCATTCGCCAGTGAGTTAACGTAAACTCCCCCGTGTGATCAAATTGCGATTCCCAGGAACCATTACACCATAAAGGCACCATAGTGTGATTAATAAATATAATAGTGCGAATTAATAAATACCCCTCATAGCATCACCCCGTGTATTCGCACCTAACCATGTTCACCCTCGGGGAAATGCTTGGGAGTTTTTTCATTATTACTTGGTGCTTTTTAGCTGAAACACCCTGTGTGCGCGAATGATGTGTTGTTTGACGAGATCGTGCAGATTAGGTTGGGTACTTGAGAAAATGTTTTTTTTTTAATAAAACAGTAGTTCGATTGCGCTTGTCTGCATGTGCTCCCCTTTTGTCCTGTTTGTTACGTGCAACAACGCTGAAAGATGAATTGATTGATATGGGAACTTTGACATCACAAAATCATTATATGATTATGAGAGATGCCGTAGTGAAAGGCTCCGAAAATTTCAACCGCCTGGGGTTCTTTATTCGTCCCTGAAATCTTAGCTCACGGACCCACAGCTTTTTCTCATCTATTGAAAACGCAGCCACCACAGCCGGGGTTTGATCCCGCGACCTGCGAGTCACAGCCGAGTACCTAAGCAACTAGACCACCATGATGGGTCTAGGAATAATTTGTTCAAACTAGACCATCTAACAGCATTGCTTGAATTGTTAACGCTAATCGTTAACAGCTGGGGAGTTTTGTGCACCCAGGCACAGAGGGTGGACTTGCAGTAATACCGCAGGCACAATTTAATTTAATGGCAGCTCCTTAAGTTTTCTTTCCTTAATCTTAAGGCGAAAACATTCATAAACTGCCGCATGCTAAATCACTGCCGCTTAGCTATAGAGCCTTGAAAGTCAGTACCACGTTCATAAATGCAATATTCAGGACCAAAAACAACGAATGAGATTGCTCAATACGAATAAATCTTCCCGGGGATTCATTGGCATGGGTACTTCATTGACATTTCATCCTCGAGCTGATAAACCCCTCCGGCCATTCAGTACTTCCCGCTCTAACCTGCATGCTGAAACGAGGCATTGTGAGCTCATTTCAGAAACGTTGTTTGGAAGTATTGGGGTAAAGCGGCAGAAGCCTGCCTATGTAAACAAGCACAATGTCTGTTTTGGTATGATACCCGACCCAGCTACTCGTCTTAAAAACTGAATGAACTAATATCAGTAAATCCACGTTAATAAACTGCGATAATTTTATGGCATGCTTATACAGAAGGAGGTAAGAGGTCTCCTACATAGAAGCTGAAATGAACACCCTGCGCATAGTAATACGAATTTTTCTAACAAACAATGATGGCAGCGCGTAAGGTTAACAAGAACTGAATCAATTAGCATACATGGTATAATGAGCTGAGAAAAAAGAGTTGAAGTATTAACAAGTACAATGATGTCGTAGTCATTTACAGTTAAAACCACACATGTGCTTTTTTTAATATAACAAAAAAGGCCGAAGCTTCCACTAAGCAGCGTAGGTCGGCAATCTGCCAAATGAGTCGACACAGGTGATATCATTCGGACTCGCATCGCAAAGTAAGCCTTAGTGTGAGTGAGCCCGAGCGCATAGCAGTCCTTACAGATTGAGTCCGAGTAAGCCTGGTCGAGAATAATTCTACCGTAGTGAATTTGCGTCTGAGTCAGTCTGGTAGGGAAAACGTTTTGGTGAGTTCGAGTGCGAGTCCTAAGCGCAAATTATATTTCGCGAGCGAGTCTAAGTGGGCTCCCCGTTTTTCGCCAAGTTATGATAAGTATAAAGCCACGCAAAC